TCTTTAATATTTAAATTTATCTAATATTTAAGCTCCATTTTATGATTAAGTCGCTGCATCTCGATTAATTAGGCTTCATTTTGGATTTCTTCAATACAAAGTTTCATCAATATGTTTTCGAGTATGAATAAATAAATAAATAAATATTATGAAGCTAAAGTTAAATTAACCACAGAATGCAAACTAAAAAGCCGAAAAGCAACTAGTAATAATATTAATCTTCCGTATTCATATTTTTCAGCTAATTGTTCGAAATCTTATAATATTGTGACAGGAGACCACAACATTAAAAAAAAATATCTATAATTAAATTAAAAATGAGACAATACATATTTTATTTATTTTGATTAGATATTTTTATTTATTTATTGAAAAATAAATCAATCCTTCGTATTTTGTTTTTTATTCGAAGGAAAAATCAAAAACACTTTTAAAAAAACGAAGTTTTAAAAACTAAGGCTCGAGCCTCATAAAAGTAGACCTTTAAATTGGATAAATTCGAAAAAACTTGAATAAGCCGAAAGTGGAGTAATCTTAAAATGGAGGTCATTTTCAAAATCTACGACTCCGGAAACATAAGAATACACTCTTTTATGGTAAAAATTTGAAACACTTAAAGAAATCGAAATGCGGTGGCCTAATCTTAAAATTGAGGTCATTTTCAAAATCTACGACTCCGGAAACATGAGAATACACTCTTTTATGGTAAAAATTCGAAACACTTAAAGAAATCGAAATCCGGTGGCCTAATCTTAAAATGGAGGTCGTTTTCAAAATCTACAGCTCCGGAAACATAAGAATACATCCTCATATGAAAAAAATCCGAAAAACTCAAATAAGTCGAAACGCGGTGGCCTAATCTTAAAATGGAGGTCGTTTTCAAAATCTACTGCTCCGGAAACATAAAAGTAGACCTTTATATTGGATAAATTCTAAAAACTTAAATAAGTCAAAACACAGTGGCGTAAACATAAAATGGATGTCATTTTCAAAATTTACTGATCGGGAAACATAAAAATACACCCTTATATCGAATAAGTCAAAAAAACTTAAATGATTCGAAACGCAGTCACGTAATCTTAAAATGGAGGTTATTTTCAAAACTAGGTACAGGACAGCATAATACTAGTCCCTAATAAATCCGAATAGGTACAATAAATCGATATCCGTAAGTGAAAATTCTACTTAGGAGAGCATAATAATAGACTTTCATATTGGAGTGGGGGAGGGGATGGCCATTATTTAAAAAAAAATATAAAATTTACAAAAAATTAAAACATTAATTTGAAATGAAAACGGTTGAATTTGAATTGGAAAAGGTTTAATTTGAAATGGAAATGGTTGAATTTGACTTGGAAAAAGTTTAATTTGATCTGGAAAAGGTTGAATTTGACTTGGAAAAGGTTGAATTTGACTTGGAAATAATTGAATATGACATAGAAATATCACACTGAAAAAATCTAAAATGTTAAAATAAATGGATATGCAACCGCGTTATCAAATTTTTTTTTGTATTTTTCAAAAGCTATGCCTTCGATAATATAGTAAGTGGCCTTCATTTCGAAAAAAATCGAAAATTGACAAAAATTCGAAAGTTGAATTTGAAATGGAAAAGGTTGAATTTGACTTGGAAAAGGTTGAATTTGAAATGGAAAAGGTTTAATTTAACTTGGAAAAGGTTGAATTTGATTTGGAAAAGGTTGAAATTGACTTGGAAATGGTATATATTACTAAAAACATAAATAATTTAGTAAATGTTAAATCTGATGTTAAAAATAAACGCCTCACGTGGAATCCTCATACAAGAACGAAACGACAAGAAACCGCTCGACGTTTCCGACTACTCCTATTTGGACTTACGGAATTGAGCTTTGGGGCTCCACTAAACCATCGAATTCCTTCGTAAAATCCTTAACGCTCCTTATTTTGTCTCAAATAAAATAATCCATAAAGACCTTAATGTTCCATATGTTTCCGATTTGGCCCAGTCCAGATACCTATTCTTCTATAACGAACTGCAAAACCATCCAAACCCTCTCGTTTCAAACCTTTCTTCCTCCTCGATCCCTGATAACACTCCGAGGCGTCTGAAAAGAAGGTGGTCTCGTGATCTTCTTGTGTAAATTTATTATTTGAGTGCTATTAGTGGGTAGTTTCTCAATAAGTGATTTCATGTTATTATATTCTTGAGTGCACATTTACTAGTTGTATTTTTTTTTATAATACAGTTGTAAATATCAATGAATCAACGGCTGGCAGATAAAGCTGGACGAATTCGACTATGAGGTAAAATATAAACCCGAAAATCTGCACAGGAATGCTGGATCCTTAAGTAGAGCAGTACGGAGGATTGAAAAGGAGATGGGCGAAGAAATTGATAGAGAGCGGATCCCACGAGAACAAGCAGCGGATGCGGAGTGCCAAAGGATTCTGAAGGACCTTAAACCCCCTTTTGTAACCGATGAGGAGGGGCTACTTTTCTACAGGTCAGACGACTACAATACAAGCTTGTAGTCCCAAATTCATTATGACCTGGCTTCTTAAGTTGGTTCCACAATGAGCCGTTTACGGAGCATGGCGGGATTAACCGAACTATCCAGAGAGCGAAGAAATGCCAGTTTTGGAAATCCCTGTGAAGGGACGTTCTGAGATACGATGGCGTGTTCAACAACTCCAAAACTACAGTTGAAATTCTCTTTTCTTTCAGGACTAAGAATACACCGCTCGATTAGCTGTTTGATTGAATCTATATCTTCCTTCAGTAAGTGGTTTAGTCTGTCCTCCATGAGGCTCTCGAAATCTTTATCACCGGCACCAAGTGAAAAAATATTACTGCTCGGTCCCAGGACCGAATGGGTGGGAGTAGCTACTCCAACCACGGTCCCCTTGTCGATGCAGACTTCTTTGCCACAGAGGTTGACCGCTTTGACCCATATTCTACCCTCAGAGGGTGTTACCAGAACCCTCGCGATATGCACGGTTTCATTTGGAAGCTTTAAGGGCTCGATAAGAATCTCCTCTCCATCGAATCGCCAATCCATTCTTGCTTCAATAACCGCCTGTGTTTGCGCCGGTACGCAGGTCTTTTCTGTGTTTAACCTCTGACTCGCTTTGCCGTCCTTTGTCCTCTATACACCTCAGGACAGTACCCTTTTTAGCCCCGTGATCCGTTCTTCCGTGAACATTCCCTGGCCGGTTCGCTGAGTAAACCAATTGCTCACCTACTTATCGGGAAAGGCGTGTCCCTTCGGAGTGGCACCTGCTCCAAGCAAATTTCAAAAAATTATGGATGCTGAAATGTTACATATTGGGGTGTTGAAATTTACTCGAAATGCCACTGGATAATCATTCATGCAATTACCCAGAAATGTTTAATAAAAGATTAGTAAAATAAATTTGGATCTATAATATATTGATTGGTCCATGATTAATTAATTGGATTTCTTTTCTCAAAGGCTGGTTTGTGTTTATCATGTTTTCTAATTACCAACATTACCTGTGATCATCATGGTATATATGGGTGGCAGAATTAAAATAAATTTTCCTAAAAAACTTATTTTTATCTATGTATAATAAACTATATATGCAAATTATATTTACACAAAACTAAATACATGATTCAATGAATTTAATGAATGACTGTGAATTCAGATGGACTGTTTGAGAAATATTGCCATGAAATATTTTATCAGGATTGGGAATTATAACTTAGCTGGTATATGAAGTGGTGTAGTTAAGGCATGTTTCATCGCTGCATCTGCTGATCCGAGGTCATCTCGTCAAGCCCAGGTCCAAAATCTGCCAGGGAGCTCATCTTCATGGTCTATGAAGGGCCAAAGCTTCAGTCCCCAAGCCGGAAGTAAACATAAGACCTCCTTTCTTACTTCTCGGGAGATTTTATAGAAAAATTTAGGGTGGGGCAAGGATGGTTTTCATTGATTTTTAACTTCACTCTATTACTTCACAATAACTGGTAACACCCTAAAATGAACCAGTTATTTAACTCATTACTAGTTACAAGTACTCTGAGCCTTCTCCGGGTCCAGGTATAGGTCGGTCCTTATCTACCTGCTCTTTCCACTAGCGGATCCAGGATTTAATTTTGGGAAGGAACTTCAGCCCGAAAGTTTTTTTTTCATTATAATAACGATAATTACTTTGGAAAGAAAGAAAGAAACTAAATACCTATATGAAATGGTGTTTAAGTGATTCTTAAATTTATTTTACATGTAATTACACGAACAATAACACTTTAAGAGATAATTTTTTTATATTTTTTTCATAAAATATGGTTATATTTTACCATTTTGGGTGGGAGGGAATTCAGCCGCAAAGCCCCTCCCTGTAGTTCGGCTCGTGACTACAGTAAATGTATTTATATATGTATTTAAGGTTATAAACAAGTTCTTTATACAGCCATGAAATAATTTTATATTCTACTTCTTATTTCACACAAGTACAATGAAATAGTTTTTTAAATGTCATTGCTTTGATTAGGTGGATTTTAAATACTTGTTTAAACTTAAAAATATATTAAAAGTATATATTACAAATTATTGAAATTTAGAATACATAACAAAACTTATATTAAATTTTTGTATCTGGTTTATTTTGAGTGAAATATGTATTTATTTCTTAATTTCGACTTTATTTTTTTTATTACATTAATTAAATGTTCTTTGGATTTATCGCCGGTGTGCTCATTTTCGATATACTATATTAAGTATAGAGCAAATTAAATAGTTTTAACATTCCAGAACCAATTTATACAAATTGTTATGCTCAATGTTTCTGGTCATAAAATATTTCTACAAAACGGAATGTTTTGGCTACCCTGTATGTAGGCTGTGATTTCCAGCTGATCAATTGTAGTTTGTAGGGTATTTTAATGGTTCGGTAGGATAACCTATTTGGAGTTGATTTTCTTAAATAAAACATCTTAATAATTGAAAATTGAATTATTTATTTCTGTTAGTGTTAATATCTGAAAGGTTTTTTGTATGGCGGAAAGAGTTATAGGTCCTTCATTCTCTAGTGAAACACAAACATTAACTGTAGATGAAGTTGACAATAATCAAGAAGTAAGTAACTAAGTTTTTAACTTTATTTAATTAATCTTGAAAAAAAATGTCATTTCTAAGGGTGAATAAATATAATCTTAGTATTTGGAATAATCTTTTGTCTGTGAAATATTTTTCAACAGGTGTTTTTGAAAACATTAGGGTACTTGATTTAACTCGAATTGTTGCTGGACCATATTGTACTATGATCCTTGGTGATCTAGGTGCAGAAGTAATTAAAATTGAACAACCTGGTACGGGTGATGAAACCCGTCATTGGCCACCATTTACCATAGCTGATAAAGACTTATCTTGTTATTTTTCATGTTTAAATCGCAATAAGAAAAGTTTGTGTGTTAATCTTAAATCACATGATGGTAAAAAGATTATTTATGAATTGGCTAAAAAATCTGATGTTTTGGTTGAAAATTATGTTCCAGGAAAGCTAGATAGTTTAGATTTGGGCTATAACACAATTAGTTCTATAGCTCCACAGTTAATTTACTGCTCCATTTCTGGTTATGGTCTGAAAGGTCCTTATAAAAACAGACCAGGCTATGATGTTATAGCAGCATCAATAGGGGGTTTGGTCAATATTACTGGTCCAAAAGATGGGGAGCCATGCAAAGTTGGCGTAGCAATGACAGATATTGCCACTGGACTATATGCCCATGGGGCTATTTTAGCTGCACTTTTGGAACGTTCCAAAACAAAACTCGGCCAGAGAATTGATTGTAATTTATTAAATACCCAATTAGCTTGTCTGATAAATATTGGTAGTAATTATTTAAATGCAAATATAGAAGCTACTCGTTGGGGTACAGCTCATGAAAGTATTGTCCCATATGAAGCATTTAAAACAGCAAATGGATATATCACAATAGGTGCAGGTAGTGATAGTCAGTTTGTTTCACTTTGCAAAATGATGAAGTTAGATCATTTAATTACGGATGAGAGATTTCTCACCAATAAGCTAAGAGTCCAGAATCGAAAGATACTTATAAATTTATTAAAACCAGTTTTTATCAAAGAAGATACTTCAACACTTTTAAAATTATTCGAAGGTGCATCCTTTCCATATGGTCCCATCAATAAGATGTCTGAAGTAAGTAAATTTCATATTGAAGTTTTGTTCATGTGAAGTTCAGAATCCTAATTAAATAAAAATCACTTTTTAAACAGGTTTTTGAAGATAAACACATTAAAGAAATTGACCTTGTAAAACCAGTCAAGATTAAAGGAGGGACTTTAAACCTTGTCGGCCCACCAGTTGAATTTAGTCAGTTGAACAATTCAATTCGGTCACCTCCTCCTAAATTGGCACAAGATACATTTTCAATATTGAATGAGGTTTTGAACTACTCCAATAAAAAAATAGACTTATTGAGAAGAAATGGTGATATTCAATGAGTATTTTGTCATATATCATTATATGAAGTATAAACATGTTCATTAGATTATTTTAAAAAGTGATAAGTGGTTGTATGAAGCACATAAATTGTTTATATCTTTAAACTAGAGATAATCTAGGATTCACTAGCTTGGAGAGGTAAGTAGAATGAGTCATCTAAGAAAATAAATCCAATAACAAAAAGATAGTGGCTACACGCTTCCTTGTTACGATACAGTTAGTACCTAGGCAGTGTGGTGGCTTTCTTTGTTCTCTTAGATGACTAAATTTGTCCTCAGTCTATTAGCTAATAACTCCCAGTGTATCTATCATCTAATAATATTGCCAACTTACCTTTTAAGTGTTGAAGCCTATTTCGTGCATCACCCTTTATGGCCACTAATAAAATTTTAATTTTCTTTATACTAAATTACATTTCTTATATAAATTACTCAGTAAAACATCAGAAAATAGTCTATAAATTTACTGTAATAACATTTTGTTCGTAACAAGTGTGACGTGGGCCACAGAAGACAATTTCTTCTATGATGGAAGCTACAAATATTTATTATTAATAAAGGTTAGTCATAAAACCAGCTGTTTTCTATTTTTTTTTTTTTTTTTTATTGATTTAAACTAAATGGGGTATAATTTTTTTTTTAACGAACTTTTGAAGTTAAGCTAAATAAAATTTAATTATAGTAATTTAGAATTTTTATTTTATTTGTCAAAAGTAACTGAACCATGTTACAAATGTTCCTTTCAGTCATGGAATCATTTGTATTAAGCTATATTTAATTTTTTTATTGTCCAATACAGCTAGCTTCCGTCAATGTTCTCCATTTGCAGGATGCTTTACTTATGAGAAAAATAAGTTCAGAATAAACAGCTAGTGCAATGATAAGAAATTTTTAATTGAGTGCGTATTTTCAAGACCCTATATACTGATTAAAAATATAAGACATAGAAGTCAGATAAGGGAAACCAAATGTTGGAGGATCTAAAATTATTAAAATGGCGAATAAAATAAACAAATATTTAAAAACATATATTATCTACAAAATCTATATTAGTGTATATTCACGAGATTAAAGTTAAATCTCCTAAATGAAGAAATTAAAATTAAATAATAGATGGTGTTCGAACCCATACAAATTTTTTTGCTATTTGTGTATGATATTTTTCTTGATTTAATTACTATAAACATTGAATGCAAATTTTAATAAATGAAATCTCACCTAACCTTGTACATATTTAAAATACTTAGTTAGCTGCAAATATACAAAACAATGGCTATAATAATATCCCCATTCGTCCAATTTTCTAAAACTGACAATGCAAAATTCATCAAAGATAATTTGAGGAATTTAATTTTTTTCTTATTCTGTAGGCCATTTTTATTATTCTAAAGAAAAATATATGGAAAGAAAATAGAAATTTGCTTAAGCATTAAGCAATGATTGCAAATGTTGCCTTGGCCAAATCATGGACTTTACCTTAATATAACTGTCATAATTTTGGCATTTAAAAGGTTATGTTGTTGACACAGTTAGTTTAGGTAACTATGAAATCATTAGATTAATTTATAATAAACTTTAATTTTGGCACTCTTTTGTTAGTGCTTGATTTATCATTTTTACAATTGATTTTATCTGCTTTATTTTTAGGTTTTTCCATAGTTAGCTAGAATTCAATTCTAAATCATTGTTTTTAATTTTAATTCTATGCTTTAAGAAAATTATAATAGGCTAGTAATAAAATAATTATGTTTAAGTTTGATAAATTACTTATGTATAATAACAGTGCAATATTTGTGATTGATTCGGGATGTACCTTATTTAATTTAATCAATCATAAGTTTTGACCTAAAAAAAATGTAATATATTTATCGGAAAAATAAGAAGTGAAAAAAAAAAATCTAAAACAACAATATTTTGAAATTAAAGTTTTCAATGTCAGATTTGTATATATTTAATTCGCACTTATATTATAATTGAATAATAGCTCAATTTGACTTCTTATGGTCTTAATATTATATAATTTAATAAAAATGCTACTTAAAAATACAGTGAACTTTGAATATTAATTTTTAAAAAAGGCATAAAAAGCCTTAGTGTTGAATATTTTGTATTATTTCATTTTATGTTATTGTTTTTGTTCATTAGATCTTTAGTATTAATATGAGTGGGTTCATATCTAAGACTGACATCTGTCATTTGTAATGAGTCAAGAAAAAGCCAATTTTTCTAACATAGCTTCAATTTTAGTCGATTATAATGATTTTGTTTCATGATTCAACTTGAACATTCTTAAATAAAATCATCAGGAATAATTTGAGTAGAACTAATATAATAAAACAGAAATTGCCTTTTTCTCTGCTTTCTGGAAATGACAGTTGTCCTTTGATATGAGGCCACTCTGTTGTTTTCATAAGATTATTATTATAACTTGAATGAGGTGTTAAATGGCTTTCTTAGGTCTAATTTAAATATTTTGTAACATTAATTTCTATAGAAAATGTTTGTGAAATAAATTACTAAAAAATAAAAGGTATATTTGTGACAAAAAGTATTCAATTTTTTAATCATTTCTCACTATTTTTATGATTTATCAAATCAACCAAATATTTTTTTTAATCCAGTCAAATAAAAATCAAAGAGTGCTTGAAGTAGTCGATTTTTTTGGGGTACTAAAAAGCAATTTGAAGTTGTCCAACAAAGTTTTTTTTCAGCAACTATAATTACTATTAATCTTCATAAAATCAAAACTAAAAATCGCAAGTTTTTTTTTTTTAACCTTTAAAATGAGTTCTTTATGTAAAATGTGGCTCTATCTTTAAATTTAGATAGCAAAAATTATCTACAAATAATGTACTGTACTTTTTTTGAATGACTTAGTAAGTTGAACACATAGTCAAGCAAGCCTGCATGTGTTGATCAGTGGAAATATAGTGACAGAGAATAAAGTGCGACATTTTGGTTTAGCAAAATGAAACCACACACAAAAGTTCAACCACAATTAGTTGACTGTTCAAAGGAATTTTTTTTTTTTTTCAATTCTTTATTGAGAAATATTACAATCTGTCCCATCTAAAGACAATAGTAATAGTGATAGAAGAGTAGCTCATTCACACTCTATGTACAATAAATAAGAATAAATAAACAGCAAAATAATAATGAATATTTAATAGTTGACTGTTGTATTATTAAGGAAGGAAATGGTCCGGGGTGGTGGTCATAAATAGCCTAAATAGTGGCAAAACTATTTTATTAGAAGCCAATGTTTCGACCTAACATTTAATAAAATAGTTTTTCCACTATTATAGTCTATTTATGACCGCCACCCCGGACCATCTCATTCCTTCAAAATAATAATACTAAAATTAAATGTATATAAACAAAAGAAACTAAACTAATCAAAATAACTACTAAAATATACCCATGCTTCTATACAATATTTACAAAATTCATTCACTCAAGAAAGGCAGGGCTCAATCTAGGAGATGCTAGTGCTTCACACTCACCCGCATTAGTGGTATTAAGGACCAGTGGAGACTGATCAGAGGCACTATAATCAGACATACATGGCTTGTTAGGAGAATCTGACCATTGCCTGAACTCCAAAATATGCT